GGTCTCTACCCTAGAAAGCAGTATGGTTTCAGTTTCAGTTTCATGTGCGCTCCTAAACTCACACTCGTGATGCTTCTGCCCATGTAGTTGTTTGTACAAGTGATGGGGAGGCAGGGCTTCCAACTCCATCCCAACTCTAAACTTAACCTCACAGATAACTCTGAAACTCTGTAGCCCCTGGGCCAATGGCCAGCAGGGCCAATGGGAAGATGGACAGAGCCTCCTGGCTTCCATTCTGGGACTTGCACAGAACATGCTCTCTTGAACTGCTGCCACCAGAGGGCCAGGACACCCTGGCTTCTGCAGAGTATGGAGAACTCTGGGGACAGAATTTCATCCCACTGAGCTCAGGCCACACCCAGGGAGGACTGGTTGCGTCTCCTTGCAGGCACTGTCTAACCTAGGCACCCCAGTGACTCACAAGAAACTCCAGTTAGGTTCTCCTCCTTGAGGTTCTGGGCCATTCACATCAATCAAGATGCAGCAACAGATCCAGACTTCTCATCCTGAGACTGCATTTTAATAAGAGTCCAAGGGAAACACTTTCCCCCAAAAGAGATTTACTCTAGTTCACCTTCACCCCCTACCTTTCCTGGTCCACAAGCTCTGCCTGAGCTCAAGCAGTGATGGGAAAGTATCCTCAGAAAACCAGAATGTATGTTCAGAGTTGTGATTACCCATGTGGAGGTGGAGAGGAAGGACCAGTTTTTGCAGTGGGGACAAAGGAAGCCTATTATTATGATAAATCAGGCTCATTTCATTGGCTCAAAAGGAGGAGTGATGTGACCATATGTCATTTGGGCATTAAACAAATCCTAATGAGCTAAAAATATGTTTCTTTTAGCAGATTGATCTCTTTGTCCTTCAAAAATCTTGGTAAACATCCTCAGATAACAACTTCCAGAGCGCAGATTGTGGCTCGCAAGTGTGCTGCAAAAGCCTCCCACCTTCATCCCCTAGGCCACCTCCACTGGCTGGCTGCTGAGGCACACCCTAAGATGTATGTGCTGAGGAGGGAAGACTGCCAGACTCCTTCTATGAGGCCAGCATCACCCTGATCCCAAAACCAGATAAAGACCCTACAAAGAAAGAAAACTACACGCCAATTTCGCTGATGAACATGGATGCTAAAATCCTCAACAAAATATTGGCAAACCGCATCCAGCAATACATTCAAAAGATTATCCATCACGATCAAGTGGGATTCATCCCAGGGATGCAGGGATGGTTCAATATACGCAAATCAGTAAACGTGATACACCACATAAATCAAAGAAAAGACAAAAACCACATGATCATCTCGATAGATGCAGAAAAAGCATTTGACAAGGTACAGCACCCATTTATGATCAAAACACTCAGCAAAATGGGAATCAATGGGGCATTCCTCAACGTAATAAAGGCCATATATGAAAAACCTACAGCCAATATCATACTCAATGGGCAAAAACTGAAAGCTTTCCCACTAAGATCGGGAGCACGACAATGATGTCCGCTCTCACCGCTTCTTTTCAACATCGTATTGGAAGTCCTAGCCACAGCGGTCAGACAAGAGAAAGAGATAAAAGGCATCCAAATAGGAAAGGAGGAAGTAAAACTATCATTGTTTGCAGATGACATGATAGTGTACATAGAGAACCCTGTAGACTCTACCAAAAAACTCCTCAACCTAATAAGTGAATTTGGCAAAACAGCAGGATACAAAGTCAACATTCAGAAATCAAAGGCGTTTCTGTACACCAGCCATGCAATAGAAGAAGAAGAAATCAGGAAAAATATACCATTCGATATAGCACGAAAAAAGATAAAGTACCTAGGGATAAATTTAACCAAAGACACAAAAGACCTGTATGCAGAAAACTATGCAACATTGAAAAAAGAAATTAAGGAAGACACAAATAAATGGAAGCATATGCCGTGCACATGGATTGGAAGAATTAATATCCTTAAAATGTCCATACTACCAAAAGCAATTTATAGATTCAACGCAATCCCTATTAAGATACCAATGACGTATTTCACAGAAATAGAACAGACATTTCAAAAATATATATGGAACCATAAACGACCTCGAATAGCCGCAGCAATTTTGAGAAAGAAACACAAAGTAGGAGGGATCACAATACCGGACATCAAACTCTACTACAAAGCCACCATACTCAAAACAATCTGGTACTGGCACAAGAACAGACCCATAGACCAGTGGAACAGAATAGAAAGCCCAGAAATAAGTCCAGGTCTCTATGGACATCTAATATTCGACAAAGGGGGCAGAAGCATAAAATGGGGCAATAACAGCCTCTTCAACAAATGGTGTTGGGAGAGCTGGATGGCTACATGCAAAAAATTGAAATTGGATCATCAGCTGACACCATACACAAAAATAAACTCAAGATGGATAAAAGACTTAAATATAAGTCACAACACCATCAAAGTCCTAGAGGAGAACATTGGCAGGAAACTCTCAGATATCCCACGCAGCAATTTTTTCACTGATATGTCTCCTAAAGCAAGGGACATAAAGGAAAGAATAAACAAGTGGGACCTCATCAAAATAAGAAGCTTCTGCATGGCTAAAGAAAACATCAGCAAAATGAAAAGGGAGCCAACCATTTGGGAAAATATATTTGCTAATGATACATCAGATAGAGGTTTGATCTCCAAGATATACAAAGAACTCACTCGACTTTACTCCAAGAAGACAAACGATCCAATCAAAAAATGGGCAAAGGACCTGGGTAGATGCTTTTCTAAGGAGGAGATACAGAGGGCCCAGAGGCATTTGAAAGGATGCTCAGCATCACTAGCCATCAGAGAAATGCAGATCAAAACCACCATGAGGTATCACCTCACACCGGTCAGAATGGCCATCATAAACAGATCCACAAACAACAGGTGCTGGCGAGGCTGTGGAGAAAAGGGAACTCTAGTCCACTGTTGGTGGGAATGCAGACTGGTGCAGCCACTATGGAAAGCAGTGTGGAATTTCCTCAGAAAGCTGAAAATGGAACTGCCTTTTGATCCAGCGATTCCCCTGCTGGGACTATACCCTGAGAACACCAAAACGCCAATACAAAAGAACCTATGCACCCCAATGTTCATAGCAGCACAATTTACAATAGCCAAGTGTTGGAAGCAACCTACATGCCCATCAGTAGATGACTGGATCAAAAAATTATGGTACATATACACAATGGAATACTACGCAGCAGAAAGAAAAAAAGAAGTACTAAACTTTGCGACAGCATGGATGGAACTGGAGAGCATCATGCTAAGCGAAATAAGCCAGGGGGCGAAAGACAAATACCATATGATCTCACCTATAAGCGGAACCTAACCAACAATGCAAAGAAGCAAGGAAAATATGACCAGCAACACTGAAAGGAAAAGAAATCAACAGAGACAAGAGGGAAGGGGGGGGGCAGGGAAAGGGAAGGGAAGGGGAAAGTCAAGGAACATATAGCAAGGACTCATGGACAAAACCAAAGGGGAAGAGCTGAGGGAGGGAAGGTGGGAGGGGGCAAGGGAAAGAGGTGGGGGGAAGGCAGAGACAAATGTATTTAAAAAGTAAATAAATTAATTAAAAAAAAAGAAAGAAAGAACAAAGGAACAACAATAAAAAAACAAAGAACAAAAAAAAAAAAAAAAAAGATGTATGTGCTGGAGATAACAGGGAGAAGTGAGAGAAACAGAGCCAGGCCACTCTCCCAGGGCTCTTTCCCAACTATGGGACCGTGATTTGAGTGGTAGTTGTCTCTGAGCCATAGCTGTCTCATTGGTTAAATGAGGGAAATGCCCACCCCTGGAGGGATACAAAGAAAATGCAGGGGTTCTAGGTTCTAGGCAGGACCCAGGTCACTTCCACATGATGGAGCAGGAACTGGGAACCTGAGGGTCCAGCAGTTGATTCAGCAGTTGATGCATGTGCTTCGTGTAGGTGGGGAGAGTGATCTACATACCAGTGGGGCCTGGGACTCCAGGGACCCAAGTCCTACTACTCAGTTCTTCCTGTGAGCAGTGGGCTGTGGACTGAGCTCTCAACCAACAGGGGAATGGATGCTCCTCAGATCTTGGAGCAACTTCATCTGACCTGAAATCACTGGTTCCATGATATCCTCACTCACCAAACCCCCACTGAGGTCCAGACATACTCCTATATTTGAAAGCTGTCAGTAGGACCACTTTTGTTCCCTGGAGGAATTAGCAAGACATAGGAATAAACTTCAAGCCCTAAAGTTAATGGGGGTCTCAGACTCAAACTCTGTACTGCCTGAGGAGATGATCCCACAGTCTTTTTCTCTCCACCCCTACATCCCTCCACTTACTAAGCCCTTTTTCTTCAGCTATAAAACAGATAATATCTAACAGGGAGAACATATCAGTAATTAAGTGCTTCCTTCTTGCTTGATATTGTGAAGAGATTTACACATATTTTCTCACTTAATTACACAGTAAGTAAGGCCTAAGTCCACAGAGCAGAGAGTGGCGAAACCAGACCTCCAACAAATCCTACCTAATTCCAGAGGCATGGATCACCCAGTGTAGTGGGGAAATACTATTTGCTTGAAAGTTAATAACTCCATTTTGCAGGGAAGACTGTCAGCCTATAAAGCATGGAGCACAGTGTCTGCCTGTCATAGAAACCCAAAATAAATGGTAGTTATTCACATTATTATGCACAGAGGTCACACAGTAAGATGAGATTCAACAGAGCTTCTGGGTCAAACTACCCCTCTGACCGGCCCCCAGGGCTGATAATCTTGAATTAAACAAGATTAAAGCCTTACTGGAAGTTGAAGCTGCACCTCAACTCCCACATTTAGTCTCAGACCTTCTGTCTGCCAACTGAGAAGGACAAGGAATGAAGGCAGCCACAAAGGGCAGCACTGTGGCCTTGCCCACAGTCAAGGGAGCTTTGTGCAGGAGCCAGTCCTCCTTCTGGATTCCCACGAAGAGAGAATGGGCTCTGTTCTTGTCCACACTACTCTGTGGTCCCGGAGAACCTGATGGGGATCCAGGAAGCCATCGAGCAGGCTACCAAGAGTAATGAGATCCTGGGCATCTCAGACCCCCAGACCCTAGCCCATGTTCTGATGGCTGGGATGCAGAACTCCTTGAATGACCCTCATCTGGTCATCTCCCCAGCAAGTTACAACACTCACCAACCTCACACAAGAGAAACTGCTTGCTGGGCTGCAGAAAAGCATCCACCACAATGTTCTGGAGGGCAATGTGGGCTACTTGCAGGTAGATGACATCCTGAGCCAGGAGGTAGTAAGCAAACTTTGGGGCTTCCTGGTGGCCAATACTTGGAGAAAACTCATGGGGACTGCCTTGGTGCTAGACCTCTGGCACTGCACTGGAAACCATGTTTCTGGCATCCCATATGTCATCTCCTATCTGCACCCAGGAAACACGGTCCTGCATGTGGACACCATCTAAGACCACCCCTTCAATACAACCATTGAGATCTGGACCCTGCTCCAGGTCCTTGGAGAGAGGTACAGTGCTGACAAGGATATGGTGGTTCTCACCAGTGGCAACACCAGAAAAGTGGCTGAGGACATTGTTTACATTATTTAGATGTACAGCACCATGGTGGTGGAGGAGTGGACTGTGGGGGGTGCCCCAGACCTCCAGAAGCTGAGGATAGGCAAGCTTGATTTCTTCTTCTCCATGCCTGTGTCCAGGTCCTTGGAGCCCTTGGGTGGGGGCACCAGCTAAGTAGGCCCTCAAGAAGGCCCTGGCCATCCTCACACTGTGCAGCATCCTGCCAGAAGTCATGAGGAGCCTGCAGAAGGCCCTGCAAGACTACTACACCTTGGTGGACCGCGTGCCTGCCCTCCTGCACCACCTGGCCAGCATGGACTTCTCCATGGTGGTTTCTGAGGAGGATCTGGTCATGAGCTCAACGCTGGTCTGCAGGCTGAGTCCTGGGACCCAAGGCTCCTGGTGTGGCCCATCATACTCAAAGAAACCTCTTCTGGGTCTGAGGCTGGAGCCAATGACCTCCCAGAAGTTGCCCCAGCAGTCCCAGAGGATGAGGTTTCCCGGCAGGCTCTGGTGGACTCCATGTTCCATGTGTCGGTGCTGCCGGGCAATGTGGGCTACCTGCGCTTTGACAGATTTACTGATGCCTCTGTGCTGGGGATACTGAACCCATACATTCTGCTCCAGGTGTGGGAACCTCTGCAGGTTGTGCCCCTGCTGCTGTCTTACTTCCAGGGCCCCAAGGCCAGCCCTGTGTGCCTCTTCACCACCTACGATTGCCATACCAATGTCACCCAGAGCTGCTGGGCCAGCGCTATGGTTCCCAGCATGGGATATACCTGCTCACCAGCCACCACACCACCAGGGCTGCTGAGGAGCTGACCTTCTTAATGCAGTCTCTGGGCTGGACCAGGCTGGTAGGTGAGATCACTGCAGGCAGCCTGCTTCACACCCACATGGTGCCCCTGCTGGAGACATCAGAGGGTGACCTGGCACTCATGGTGCCTGTGTTCACCTTCATCAACAATCACAGTGAGTGCTGGCTGGGGGGTGGGGTGGTGCCATGCCTAATGCTACTGTGCCAGCTGAGGAGGCCCTGGGCATAGCCCAGGAAGTTCCGGAGTTCCACCACAGTCTGGGGACCTTGGTAGAGGGCATGAGATGCCTGCTGGAGGCCCACTGTGCACAGCCAGAGGTTGTTGGGCAGACAGAAGACCTGCTATGAGCCAAGCTCACCCAGGGGGCCTACTGCACAGCCGTGGACCTGGAGTCCCTGGCGTTCCAGCTCACGGCCGACCTGCAGGAGATGTCTGGGGACCACTCTCTGTTGGTGTTCCTCAGCCCTAGTGATCTGGTGGCAGAGGAGGTCCCCCCACCACCCCCTGCCATTTTCTTCCCAGAGGATCTCTCCTACTTCACTGAGGCCCTGTTGAAGATAGGGATGCTGCCTGGCCAGCTGGGCTATTTGCGTTTTGATGGCATGGCCCAGCTGGAGACAGTAAAAGCCATTGGGCTACAGCTGGTGCAGCTGGTGTGGCAGAGGATGGTGGGTACGGCTGCATGGTTGTTGATCTGCGCTACAACCTTGGCAGCTCCACGGCTGTGCCCCTGCTCTGCTCCTACTCTTTTGTGGCAGAGCCCCACCAGGGTCTGTCTTTGACAGGGCCATCTCGATGGAGGTATGGACTCTGCCCCAGCTGGCTGGCCAGCGCTATAGCCCCCACAAGGACCTCTAGAACCTGATGAGCCACACCAGTGGGTCAGTAGCTGAGGCTTTTGCTCACACCAAGCTGGACCTGCTGTGGGCCACAGTCATCGGGGAACCCACAGCTGGAGGGGCGCTCTCTGTGGGCATCTACCAAGAGGGCAACAGTCCCTAATATGCCTCCATGCTCATGAAGATGGCCCTGAGTGCCAGGACAGGCAAGGCCTAGGACCTGGCAGGGGTAGAGCCTGACATCACTGTGCCCATGAGTGAAGCCCTCTCCACAGCCCAGGACATAGTGGTCCTGCATGCAAATGTGCTCACTGTGCTACAGACAACTGGGAAGCTGGTCGCCGATAACTTCACCTCTCTTGATCTGGGGGCCAGGATGGCAGCCAAACTTAACCATCTGCAGAGCCGCTATTCGAGGGTGACCTCTGAAGGGACCTTGGCTGAGATACTGGGGGCTGATCTGTAGGTGCTGTCTGGGGACCCACACTTGAAGACAGCCCATATTCCTAAGGACTGCATTCCTGGGATTGTGCCCGTGCAGGTTAGATACAAGGGAGACTTGGCCCAGCACTGTCCCAGAAGGGAGTTGACAAGTTGTTTGTATATCCAGGGTTCGGTGCATGGTACAAGATAAAGGCTTCCAGACTTGTTTTCATGTTTAAGTTTTTACCAGTCACATTTTTTTTCTCTCTCTCACTCTGTCATCTCATCCACTCCCATGCTCCTGAGGTCTCACAGGAACTCAGTCTGAAAAACCCTGTTACAGAAGGAGCTACACTCATAGGGGTTTTTGCAGGGTTTCTCATTGTCATTGATGGAGAAGGAAGTCAGTAAGTCACATGAGATCACAATTTCCTCCTCTGGAAATGTGGCCTTTGTGTCAATACCACCTGCTTGCCTCAGGGGTCCACAGTTTGTGTGGATGAGTCAAGGAGATGGAGACAGGGAAGCAGGCGGAGGCCCTGGCCACACAGTGCTTCGAAACTAAAGAATGGAGCATGGACAGGCCCTGGAGTGGTCAGGGGTGGCAGGGCACAGCCCAGAGAACTACAGCAATGAGTTTTGTTTGGTTAGATGCTGAACGTCTTTTCCTCCCCTCTCACAATGCAAAGCACTACAGCCAGAAGGAGCTGCACTTGGTGGACATGTGGCCAGATCCAAGGGCCAACTGGATGGGGTATCCTGAGTGAAGCTGTGTGGTTACAATATTTCAAATTTTGGGAAACACTGAAAAGGTGAATCAGTGCTGAAGAGTGTTGCTGCTTGGGTGGATGAGGGCAAGTTCTCCAGACCAGTGGCTAAGGGAAGCCATTAAGATTCACCAAGCATACCCATCAGGTGAAAGCTCCATCCAAAGCAGCATTTACAACATCTCCCCACATATTTTATCATCTGTGATTTCACTGCATAGTCAGGGAAGCTGTTGCCTTGGGTTTCCTTAAAGCAGGGCCTAAGACAACGGCTTGGGTATAGGCAATTTACATGGGAGGTAGTCACTGCAGCAGGAGTGAGGGAGCAGCGGGAGTCGGAGGAAAGGACAGCTGACAAGCAGGTGCATTATTGGTTCCATAGCATTCAGACAAGCGTGGAACCACCTTCTGCAGCACTAGACCTCCACTGGCTGAGGAATCCCCCAAGGTACATGATTGCTCTCAAAATCTGAGGAAGCTTGGAGAAAGTTCTGAAGTGGAGAGTAGAAAAACATAAGGGAGTGCTGGAGGAAGGGCCTTGTCAGCTGGGGTTCAGTTGCAGCTGAAATCAGAGGAGGGCTGAGGGCACCAAACACATCTACTACAGAATCGTTCTTCCATTTTACAAACACAAACTGAAATCTGGAAAGGTGCAGAGGACAGGGATCTGTGACCAAATAGCTTGTTACTAAAGGAAGAGCATGCCATGTAGGCCGTGCGTCCCAGGCAATAGTGGTATCTTGACAGCTCCTTGCCCTTGGTCCAGCTCACAGAGCCTGCAGCCTCCTAGCAGCCTTGAAGAGAAACGAAGAGGCCCAGGCATGCTGGGGGATCTCAGTAAGTGCCGGCACTGCACTAGTCTCACAGTGCCTCCAGATCCAAATTGGGGGCTCACTCTTTTCCAGTGTAGTCAGAGTTCACAGTTTGGTGTCACATGTGGATTTAGATTCTGCCTCTACCACTTACTGGCTGTGTGACCTTGGGCAAGTTACTTAATTACTCTGTGTTTCAGTTCCTCATTAAAAATGTGGGGATTAATTAACTCCTCTACCTATAGGGTGGCCATGAGGCTGATGGTAAGTGCTGCAAAGTGCTCAGCACAGGGCCCACTAGCTAATGTTGTCCCTCCCTGACCTGATGTCGGGGGTGTGGGGGCTCAGGGACATCAAGAAATATCTGGCGAGGTTAGGGGATACAGAGTGGGGAAAAGGCCTGGACCTTTCAGCTCTGGGCAACAGGGCATGTCGTTGTCACACATGAGCATTCTTGTTAAGGAAGCTGCCAACCACACGGTGGTTTCATAACCCCGGGCTACCTCCCAGCACTATCAGAAAAGGTCCTGGGACCTACTACCTCCCTCAGAATTCCCTTTGCATACCCTTACTATTTCTCTTGATATGAAGAAAATCTTTGGTGTTCACTTTTCCGAACTTTAAATTCTCCTCTCCTGACTCTGAGCTGGATATTTCAATTTCCCAGATCCCTTCCCCTGAAGTCTTTGAAGACCTGTTCAAGTTCTCCTTCCACACAAATGTGCTTGAGGACAATGTTGGCTATTTGAGGTTTGATATGTTTGGACACTGTGAGGTGCTCACCCAGGTGTCAGAATTGCTAGTGGAGCATATGTGGAAGATGATTGTGAACACGGATGCCATGATTATTGACATGAGGTTGGTGGGCCAGAGATCAGTGGCTCTTGGCCTGGCCAGGGCTGCTGCTGGAAGACAGTCAATTATGGGCCTAAACAGAAGAAAAATGACCCTGGGACACAGGATAAGAGTTGAAAGGACTAGATCATCTGGCTATCAGGAGCTGTCAGGTAGCCCAGGGGTTCTGGTTTAATTGGCTGGGTAAGACCCCAGCACTGGTAGATTTTTAAAGTTCCTCCAATGATCCCAGTGTGCATTCCAGGATGAGAATTACTGAGCTAATTCAGTGGGTCCCAAATGTACCTGGTTGTAGGATTCCTTGCTGTGTGAGAGGGAAGGCAGACATGAAGAACACTGATTCCAGTGCCCCAGCTCAGCCCTACTGAGTACAAAATTTCAGGGTCGGGGCCCAATGATCTATATATTTGACAGGAATCATCTAGGTCTTTCTTATGATGAGTCATGTTTGGGACACCTAGGTTTCCACCTGTGGTTGTGGCTCATGTCATTCAGAAGCAGCCCAGGACCACCCTGGTCATAAGAATCATAAAACCAGAGTCCCAGATAAAATTTACAAATTATTTACTATTGTTGCAAAAAGAATTATTTGCCTCACAAAGTGATTGTTGGAGGGATGCTTTCAGGTAGCTACCTCCCTTCTGCTTCTGTAAAAGTGTGGCTAATAGAGGTGTGTTTCCCTCCTAGAACAGAGGGGAGGTAGAAGAATTCCCCAGGGCAGTGGCCAGGATCATGCTCCGCATGACTTCCAGGTCCACCGGCAGACTTGCCTGGGTACCCTCCATGGAAAGGGGAGGACCAGGCTAAGAGACAGATGCTGCCGGGATTGGCTGAGATGGAGTGTCCAGCTCTGGTAGTTGGCCTGTAACATTCCCATGTTTCTTAGTTATTGCTAGATGGCTCTGGACCCCAGTAGCAAGTTCTCTTCCCTGGGAAAGAAACTGTCTCCAGGGTTCCAGTGTATGTGCCCAGAACTTGAGCCTGGGGTCTCCTGTGTGACCTCTGATCTCTTCATTCTTCAAATGCTCTATTAAACATCTGAACGAACTTCATGCTAAGTCCCTATCTGCTTAATTGTGCCATCAACAATTTTTTTTTTTAAATAAAAGGAAACCCAGCCTCCAGCTGTGCTTTGCTTATGGGCCCTTCCAAATTGAGACTTGGAGGTTCAGAAGCTGAGGTCATGGGCCCTGAACCCAGCCAAGTCATCCCAGACCATCAACCAGAAGAGGCTCATAACACACTGCCAGCCTTGCACTCTTTGTTTCCCAGATCAAAAGACAGGGGCCCAAGAAGATCATGACATGGGGCAAATCTAAACGGCCAAGGATAGCTCCACTTTCTCTCACTTCTGATGCAGTTTCACAACTCTGAGCACTCCACCACATTAATTGCCTTGTTAGGACACCTCAGCTAAGACACCTAGTGGGTTTTGTGAAAATATCAAGAACGCAACTAGTAGGATAGTGTTCCCAAGAGGTGCTCCACTCACAGGAGGCATGGCTATGGGGAGCAGTCCATGGTCAGTAAGTTGGGGAAATTTCTCAAGAAGTTCCTGACTGTAGGACTTGTCAGACCCTTTAATATAATATATACAGTTTGTATCACACATTGTATTAATATGTGATCAGAAGGGGCAGGTATGGTATTCAGTATATTCTAAATGAATTGACCATTTCATTTAGGGAACTCTGGGGAACGCCAACCAAGGAATTCTGTAGATGAGGAAAGGGCACTAGACTGAGGCTGCCTGGAATTAGAACCTTCCAGAGAACAGAAATCCATGCCTCCCAGGGAGCAACAAGGGCCTCAGTGGCCTTAGTGTGAGCTCTGCTCTCAGGGGCCTCCATTCCCTTCCCTCAGGTTCAACATTGGTGGCCCCACGTCCTCCATCTTTGCCCTGAGCTCGTACTTCTTTGATGAAGACCCATTCATTCTGCTGGACAAAATCAATAGCCAGCCAAATGACTCTGTCAGTGAGCTCTGGACACACACCCAGCTTGCAGGTGGGTGCAGAAGACTTTTCCTTCCTGTTCTCATCCTAGAAGTTTCTAGAAAATTAAATAAAGACAGCTTGGGTTCAGGTAAAAGTAATAGTAAGTGGAATATAAAGTCCCCGTCTTATGCCATGTACTTTGCACATAGGATCTTTAATTACCGCAAAACTTGTACCATTATGCCCATTATCTAGAGGCAAAAATGAATATCTACTGAGTAGAATATCCTTTCTAGCATCACTCAACTAATAAGTGAAAGTGCCAAAACTTAAATACTGGTTTGTCTAAAACCAAAGTGCCTCTATTCTGCCCACTACAACCGTCTACCTGCAAGACAGAGGCAGCACCAGAAGGATCCCCCTGCCCATCACCAGACTCCACAGTGTTTCTACTGTTCATCTTACCTGAACTCTCAGCAGCAGCTCAGCACACCTACCTAAACGAAGTTCTGATGCTGACAGGGCTTCTGTTACCTGCCCTAGGCCCAGAACAGTGACCATAGGAGCAGGGAGGGCCCTGTGCTTTGCAGAGCCATAACCCTCCCAGAGCCGTTGCTAGTTGATAGTCTCACTCCATCCCACTTGCCCAGCATCTGAAACCAAGGAACATTCATTTCCATCAACAAGAGTAAGCTGGGAGACGAATAGGGGTGTGTGTATAAGCAGAAATGAACCATGAAATTTTGATTTGTATAGTTCTTTACCACACAAACATTTGGAGCTTACAGCACACACATTCAGCAATATTGCAAAATGTAAATAGAAATCAGAACCAGGTAAATTCTAAACTCAAATAGACATTCAAGACCAGGAGTTAAACATAGACTCAGATCTGCAGATCACAGGGTCCTAGAACTTTGATGTCCCATGTAGGAGCCTCTGAGCAAGGAAATGTGGCTTGTATTATTTGTGATATGTAAAGAGTAAAATGAGTGCCAGATTTTAAAGACATTTTATGAAGAAAAAGGATCCAAAATATCTCATCAATAATTTTATTAACTACATTTTTGAGATAAACATATTTTGAATATATTTCATTAACTAAAAATTATTAAAATTCATTTCATCTGTTTCTTTTTACTTGTATAATGTGGCCACTAGGAAACTTAAAATGACATCTGTGGCTTGCATTCTGGCTCATGTTTCATTTCTATTGGATACATTGTCTTGCAGGATTATTGTCAAGTTACAGATTTGACTCTTCTGAGAGTTTAAGGTGAAAAGATAGTCTGGTCAGGTTAATATTTTTTTTGTTATTAAAAAAGGGAAATGTGCCTTTTTTTCTGGAAAAAGTCAAGCCTTTTCTCATTACTTTGTGATAAAAGAATCTAGGTAGGGATGGGCAGGCTGGGAAATATTTCGTGCTCAGGATTGGGCACATGATGTTAACCCCATTTTACAGATGCAAAACTGAGGCTCAGGAAGGTGGAATGACTCTCATGTGAGTGCAGTGATGCAGAACTATATGCCAGGCCCTCTTCTCTGTGGGTCCAGGCAATATAGAGAAGACAGGTCTCCCAGGAGTTGGCTTGATAACCTATCTTGTAGTGCTTTCTTGTTTGCAGGTGAACACTACGGCTCCGAGGAGAGAGTGGTCATTCTAACCAATGGTGTAATGGCCAGCTCAGTGGAGAAATTCACCTATATCATGAAGAGGCTGGGCTGTGTGTTGGTCATTGGGGAGGTGACCAGTGGGGTCTGCCAGCCTCCACAGACCTACCACATGGATGACACACACCTCTACATCACCATCCCCATGGCCCGTTCAGTGGGGGCTACTGATGGCAGCTCTGGGAAGGGGTGGTGGGCATAGTGCCCCATGTGGCTCTCTCTGAGGAGGCAGCCCTCACCAGAGCCAAGGAGATGTTTCAGCACACTCTGATGAGAGCAAGTTGGAGACTTGGCCAGCAGGGTGCAGGGTTTCCATGGGCAGAGCCCTGAGGTAGGCGACACCTCTGGGCCACAAACCAAGGGAGCTCAGGTACTTGGTTCTGCCTGAGGATCCAGGGTGCAGGAAAGGGGCCTGCTGAGCTCCCAGTAGGCTTAGAGTTGCAAGTTCCCTTGGAGCTCATCAACCCGGCCTTATCACCACTGCCAGCATCCTCTCTGTCTGGACATCTGGGGTGCTGATATTCTCTGTAACAGTTATTTGGAAGAGGTGAAGTCCAGATCTATCCCTAGCCATGCTTATTAATTGCCAGCCTTTGGTCCTCATGCTGTAAGCTAGATAGAGCAGCTCTATCCAACTGAGTTATAAGGTAAGTCACAGATGCCAGGAACATGTGTCAATTTACATTTTTCTGTAGCCACATTTAGAAGAGTAAAAAGATGCAAGTGAATTAATTTCAATAATATATCTTATTTAACCCATTATATTCACAACAGTATCATTTCAACATGTACTCAATATAAAAATTATTATGAATGAGATGTTTTTCTACAAAATCTTTGAAATCTTAGAGCACACTCCCATTCTGTGTGCCACATGTCTAGTGCTCAATGGCAATTTGTAGCTGGTGGCTCCCATGTGAGACAGCACAGGCCCAGAGATAAGGGGCACCCATTCCCCTAAAACACTGCCCCCACTCTGCCCTCCCTGCACCTTCACCAAGTGAGTATTGGGCTGCAAGCCTTCATTTTCCTCAGGTGGTAGTCCTCAAACACTGTAAGAGAAGTCCAGGTTCAATTAGAATCCTATACTCCCTGCCCCAAGCCCTTCCACTTCAATTCTATACGGCAAGTCTTATTTTCCTTCACATGTACTTCCCATGCCCTTGTTCTCCACCTCTGCCAAGGTCCCAAAAGCTCAGGTGCCATGCAGTATCCTGACATGCCAGGTTGCTGCTGAGGGAAAAGTAGCCCTGGGCAATAGGCTGGGTACCTGTCCAGCTCATCCAAGTCCAGCCTGTTACTGTGCTGTCTCTGGTGACCAGGCCCACTCCTGACATGGTGAGAAGCTTTTAGCATGCAGACCCCAAGACCCCTTTCAAAGGGATGACCTGAGGAAATGAGGTCCCTGGCTGGTGTCCTGGGAGCCATGTAACCCTGCTCTACTGGAGTCACTAGAGACCCAAAAGTGAGAGACCTTTAGGACCTTGCCCAAAGTCATGGTAGGGGTGAGGCTGTAAGAGCAGGGGGTACCCCAGGGCCAAGATGTCTGAGTGAAGATGAGTACTGGTGCCTTCTGGCCTTGCTGCCTGTTGAGTCCAGGCAGCATCTGCCACAGATCACTTCCCTCAGGGCACTGGGCTGACTTTAGTACACAATCTTGACTTCCCTATACTTTAGAGAGCTGTGGAATCTGGGCACACTGCTGGGCCATCACCAATAACAAGGACTTTGCCACAGGAAAACTTTGAAACTCCCTGCCTAAACAGAAAGGTCCAAATGAAAGGCAAGATTTTACTCCTTTTCCTGCTGCTAAATTCAATTAAGATTAAGTGAATGATTGAATTATAGTACTATTGTATACTGTGATCTCACCTTTTTCTTCATTAGCCCTATTAATGTTCAGGCAAATATGTGTCTCCTTGAAATGCTTACATTCTGGGGTTCTCTCTTCTCCCTCTTCTCTTCTCCCTTCTCTCTATCTCTCCCCCTCCCTCTGCCTCTCTCTCTCTCTCTCTCTCTCTCTCTCCACACACACACACACACACACACACACACACACACACACACACACAAAGGCACTGCAGACACACAGGGCAGAGATCTGGGAGCCACCTCTTACTTTCTCCTCTCAGCTCTCTGCCTCTCTACCCTGTACCCACACAATTACCAGGATGCAAGAAGAGTTATCTGAATAGGACTCTGTTCTAGGTCCACCTGCAATCCAGGTCTCTTTTCTTGGGGACCAGGATCTATGTCTAAATCCCCACAACAGCTTCTTGCTGCATTTCTGTGCTTCAGCCCCCAGCCAGGGCTACTGCCCTGTCATGCAACCTTCTTATGTCTTCCCCTGCTTGAGGACTCCTTGTAGATTCCACTGCCCAGCAGTGAGAGGGGTTGAGCCAAACTCTTGTCTGCCTCCCCTCCCTGCAACCTGTTTTCTTTGGCTTGTGGACACCTGGAACCAAACCTCAGCAAAGGACTTATGGTATGTTAGGTTTTCCAATCTCTCTAAAGCCCCCTTGCTCCCCAGGACCTGTTCAGATATCATCTGCTCAGATGAAGTCCTTGACTTCTCTATACACTTCCACAGTCCCTTGAATACCTCTGCCACAGTGCTTGTCTCTCTTGTATCATTGGTCTCCCCAACTGTTCTGTGGGGCACTCAGCAATGGAAACTTCTCCTGCTTGTCTCTGCTCCTCCAAACCCAAACAAACTTGACACCTGGTAGTAAAACTCAGCACACCATGAATAAATGAATGAATGAAAGAATAAACAAATGAACGAAAGAATGAACAAATGGGGCACCTCTTCACTGAAAAGGCATTATTAGGTGATGCAGATATTCAAGGGGTCTTATTTCTCTGGCACTCCTGGAAACATGGTAGAGAGTGAGGTCAGCCAAGAGCAAGCAAGGAGAGCTTAGGGTAGCCCTTTATCCCTCCACTCATTGGCACTGGAGTAGCCGCAGGACTACAGCTGGGCTGTATTGCAACAATAGCAAAATGAGACTATACTCCGGGGAGCCAAACCATCGGGACATTATATGGATAAAGAAACACATGGCATACTGAGTCCACCTCTCCCTTCTGCCCCAACCCATGGTCAGATCCTGAGTGGGCCAGGCCAGCCATGGCAAATTGTGGAGGCACAGAAGACCTGGGGACCAGATCTGAACAGCAGGAGATGGGGATAAGGCACAGGGTTAGGGCCTGGGGGATGAAGGGAGGTGGTTTTGCCTCCTGGGGTACATATACAAATGTTGTCTGATAGGAACAAGCCAGGCCTGTGCCAGGATCTATGTAGCTGGAAGAGGAAAGGTGGCCTTCACCATCAGGATCTTTGTTAAGAGACTTGACTCACCCTCACCCTAGGAAGCAGGGGCCAGGGACCTATCCAGGAAAGAGTGTGAAGGGGATACTTGTGAGATCCCATAGGTCCTCTCTCTTCAGGGAGGAGAGCTGGAGCACCAGAGGAGAGGACCAGCTCTTCTCCCATCTCAGCCTCCTGCTTCCCATGTCCCTGCATCTGCTCACATGTTTGTGGGCCCTGACTACCCACACAGCTTTTATGCAAGGAGAGGACACAGCTCAAAAAGAAAAATAATGTAGTCCAAATTACACTTGTTGACAAGGAAACCTTCCTCTGAAGTCCCCACTAGATGATGTCCATCTTGCATTTCTTGGTCCCTAAGGACTATGCCACTTGGCCTAAGGACCTATTCATTGCCTTGCTGACAAGAACAGCCGATGCTAAAAATAGCCTCTTAATCCAAGCAGTTTAGAATAGCAAGGGTATCAGATTGGTTTCCTGTCTCCTGTCCCAGGAAAACACAGGATGGCCAACGAAGAAAAAGTTGAATTTAGTGAACCCCAACCCTCCTCTCAGCATGCACTGCCTCCTCATTCCCCATTCAGAATTGGTTTCCAAAAATTCCTTTCTCCTAAGAAGTGGCACAAATCAAAACACATAGGAAAAATGGGTTTATTTTCTATAGGACTTATATCCTGCTATGTGATCTTTAGACTTCCTACATGACTTTGACTACAAAAAACCAAAAACATGACTTAAATAGTCATGATGTGTTAACCATTTCTCTGAAAAGAAGTGGCCTGCAGGGGAGGCCTGCTACCTCCAAGTGATGCAAGCACCTTCCAAAATAAGGAAGGATGCATAGTTCACCTGAGACAACTGCTGCCTTTCACTGTAAGGAGAATTCTCTTCCTGTGCCCAGAGGAATATGGCACTATGGATTAGGTTAGCAGTGCCAGGCCCAGCACCTGGCCTGTTTGAAGACTGGGACCATAATACAGTGAGGGATCTCCAGCTGGTAGTTCCTGCCTCTCCCTATCACCACCATCACTCATATGCTGCCTTAAGTGCATGCATTTCACTTTGGCCATCAGTGTTTAAAAAAGAACAACTGCATTAGTTGACCTCTAATTTCACATACTGTCCTGATTTCTAATCTCTCTTCAGGCCTACATTCAGCCTGGCTCTGAGGAGTCTCTACCCAGAATATATGAGCTCCAAGTTGTCAACACTGCCTTTCTTTTCTCTTCCGCCCTCTCCCAGCATACTGAGTGGGAGTGACTCATTTTTATTAATCCAATTATGTAGTTATTTGAGTGGGATCCATTACCTAAGATTTGGAAATTGGCTAGAAGTTAAAACCCAGGATCTTAGCTTCAGCAAGGTTTTACTTTTCTGTTCCAGATAAAAACAGAAAGCAGATCTTAGTCAAAATTGAGAAATAAAATGCATTTCAATTGAAAATGTCTTAGCTTAGCACATCTTCAGGACTTTGATAAATAACTGAATGGCTGCTGGAAGATAACTTATTAGAATATAATTAGCACTTTTTTTTTCCAGCCACTGTAAGTGTTTTCCTTCCGCTTGTCTAAGAAGTTAGACAAGCCTTTCTGTTCATTGATTTGGTGGCTTCTGTGCTACCTTCCTAACAACAGCTTTGCCAGAAACCTACCAAGACCCAAGACCCTGGGGGAGGTGGATAAGAGGTCAGAGCCTGTTGAAAAACAGTGGCAAAGACAGTAAGGTAGCATGCGGAGGTGGTATGATGTTAAGAGGCTACCTTCTTAGGTGTAGAGCACTGGGGAGCTTTCTCTGAACTTGGGAAGCAGGAGAGGAATTTCCAAAAGACAAGTTGCATATAAAAGCCAAAGGATTGGGGTGCAGAGAAAATTAAATACAATATAGAGAATTTAAGGAATTTGACAATTTTTAGCCAAGAATTGTAGAGGAAAATTCATACCTGCTGATGTGATGTTTTGTGGCAGAATCACCAGCCAACCCTTAAATAGAACAGAAAATGACAGAGAGAGGGCAAAGTCATGATTAAAAGTGACTACTCTCCAGTAGAGACAGGACAGCGGGAGAGAACAGTGAATCAAGACAGGATTCAACTGCCAAGAGGACTTTGAGAACCCAGCTTGGTGTCAAGTAGTAACTGCCACATTCATAATCTGTAAGTCATCATCTCTATAAGTCATCTCTCACTTTGTTAATTTAAGTGTCTACAAAGCAACTTGCATTTACATCAATTTTTACCAAAATAACCTCCATCATCAATTTTTATCAAACTGAATTCCAACTTAAAAATTGATTTGGGTTTTGTTATGCTTCTTGATCACTTTAACTTAATTAGGTTAAATTTACTTATTTTTGAAACATTTCCCTTGCTTATGAATGGTGTGGTTCCTCGAGGAGTGCAGCAGGCCAAGAAGACTCACAGACCTAGATATCATAGTTATTTCAGGAATTCTGGCCTTGACTTCACCACTTTGCCCTGCAACACTCTGTAGGTCAGCTTATCAGTAGACAGAAATGCTTACTGCTGTAAAATAGCTTGTCATGGCTTCACCATGGGCAGCATGCACATTTCACCCCTTAACATTGTGTTCAGCCATTGACTTGCTTTGGCCAAAGAAATGTTAGCAGAAGTGACCCAAGCAGAAGACTTACATGTGTTTGTGTATTAGGACTTTCCCTCTTGTGCTTCAGCATAACCATGAGAGAACCATGAGCTGGGTAGCTCATCTGTTGCACAGAAAAAGGGAATGGACCTAAATATGTTTCCTGGAGCAAAGCCAGCAAAGACCACCTCAACTGCAGCTAACCTACAGACACCCTAGTGAGAAACAGGTACTCTGGGTTGTTTGCCATGTAGATTTTTGTTATGTAGATTTTGTTATCTACACAGTGATCACATTGCTCTAGGTGCCATGCTGGCCACTGTCCTCACATCCTTCCATGTGACCCCAAAAAACATCTCCCAAAACATAGATGTCATAAACTCCAATTTACAGGTGAGAAAACTGGAGCTCAGATAATTAAACTGATTTGTTTAAGGTCAGATCTAGTAGGTAAAAGAGCTAAGATTCAGATTCAGGTTTGTCTGCCTCCAAAGCCTATGCTGTGTGCCACACTTGGCTCCATATGGAGCAAAAAGAATAGGGGAAGAGGCAGGGCCCCCACTCTTGAAGCTGTCAGAGACACTTTGTGCCTAGTAGCCCCAATGCCCTGGGTTAGCAAAGCACATCATTTTATTTCATGACTTTATTTCAAAACACATCTTTTTCCAATTATGACTGAGCTGTTCATCTACGCAGTCCATTGCAGACAAGCCTTATAGATAACTGCAATTGTATTTTCAAAGGAAGCCCTGGCAAACCATTTCTGCCTCTTTGCCAAACAATGAACACTGCACTTAGAGGTCTGTTCCACAGCCACCTGTTAACTGTGAGAAGTCATGTGCTGGGAGAGATGGTGGCGCTTCTGGAAGTACTCATGGCAAATGGGGTACGTGAGTGCTTCTTCTCTCAGCTTCTTAGAATGTAGGTCAGGCCCTGCATGTTCCTTTTTGTGGTGGGACCGCATATGAAAAACCAGGTCTGAGGTCATGTGAAAGGAGAGGTTACACTTTGCACACCAGTTCTGAGTGGGCAAGCCCAGAGAAGGGAAAGTGGGTGGCAGGAAGGCCTGAGAGGCAGTGGAAGAGGATGATGAAGGTGTGGGTATCTGGGCCATGGCATGCTTTAGCCACAATGTGGGGGCACCCAGAAAAGCACTGCAGAGATGAGTATTCTGTGGCAGCATTTGCAGGTTCCAGAAATCACCCACCAAAAGCTTAGAATTGGAAAGTTGACCCCAACAAGGGAAATCTACCATCTTAATGAGTCCCAACAGTTCCGCCAAGGTATCTGCAGGTCTGCATGCCTAGAAAAGAGGGGCTGACCCTGGTTTCCCTGATAGACACCTGGCTGGTTTGGTGAAGGCACTTCTCTGCTCTTGTTGGGCTCTGCTAGGCAATGCAGAGAAAACTGTGTTGCCAGCTGGCTTCCTGGGGATGTCTTGGGTCAGCTGTTGAGGACCAGGCTGGTCTATGAGGTCATCACATTCCCTATCTTTGGCCTGCGTACTCTAGCCTTTTCTTGAGCTGAGGCACCTCTATGAAGACACTCTCCCCCTGTTTCCAGCACACCTTCTGAGCCAGTGGCTTTCCCAGTCTAAGCTTGTCTGGGGGTGTTAATAGTGCTAGCTCCACATTGATCTCACCCTGGCCACCCCTGCCAATGGTACCCTCGGAGCCCAGGCAGTTTGCTTCCTCTATCCGCATTGGCTTGCAGCCCTCACTTTGGTTGGGTTCATTAAGCCACCAACTGTTTTCAGATGAAGGGCTACACAGAACCCCCTTCCCAGCAGCCATGTTACTGACAGGGCCTGGGACAGCTGAGCAAGGTGGACACTCCAAGAGTTGACATCTTCAGGGCTTTGGCATTCCAGAGGGCTTGGCCTGGGTAAGAGCTGTGAGACTGGTGAGCTCCCCTGGTGGTTAGGCCGGCCACACTTGGACCATAGGACTCTGCAGAGAGAGGAAGCAGCAGGCAGTGAAAGTGCTCTTTACTTGTCTGCATCCAAAGAACCGTGACAACTACAGATACTGCAGCTCACTCTGTCTCAGAACTCTATGCCACATGCTGTCACCTCCAGGACTCAATCAGGGAGGAGGGATGACACTGCACAATGCTGCCACCTAGAGGCGTGGCTCACTACTGTCTCCACACCTGCCTGCACCCAGGCAGCAGCTGCTGTTATTCAGAGAGCCACCAGCCAGTTCTGATTCCATTGACAGCTCTAACATGTTTGCACGCTGATTTAGAGAAGTCTGCATTCCTTGCCACACAACATGCCAATTCCGCCCCCGCCTCAAATCTTCAGAGGTGCCAAGAACTTTAGGCACCTGGGGACAGGCACTCCTGCAGGTCCAGAGAGAAAGAAGCTGAAGCAATAAATACCCAGGCATGACAGGGTGGGTCTGGGGCTCTGTCTGGCCTCCACTCATATACCTGGGGTGGGGAGAGCAGGGGGCACTACTTCTCTACTTGGCCCTACTGGAACAAATGAGGGTCACTTCCAGTAGAGACTCACTGGAAGTGAAACACTTGGTTCTCCTCACATATGAATCCACTTGCTTTCTTAGCAACTGTCAACTGTCCTCTGTGCCCACCTACTGGACATGCTCAGGTGGACCAGCTTCCATTGTGCTCTCAAGGCTTCAAGGAGAGATATGTAGTAGCTGTATGCGAGGATGGCACCATGGAGGAGAGGGTGCCATCAGTCCTGCAGGGAGGGCATTCATTCCTGTCTTTCCCTAATCAACTCCTCCAACATGTTCTGGAAATTGGGAAACCCATCTTCAAGCACCCCACTTCAGCTGGTGAGCAGTACTGCTAGACCACACTTGACTGAATGGTCCAAGTTTTCATCCTTAGAAAACATCCCCAGGCCCAGAAAGATACTGAGGAGTAGGTGGCAGAGCTTCTTCACAGGTACCTCCATGGGCTTGTTATGCATAAATACTATGTGCACTCATGTCAGCTCTTTCCTCTTGCCCTGGAGAAGGAAGCCTAAGCACCCTGTCCTCCCTCTATCTTGATGGTAGGAGTCTGTGATAGGTGTTTTGCATATGCCACCTCCTTCCACCATTACTCTTTTTCACAGATAGGAGGACAGGAGTTTTAGAAAGCTACACACCCTGTCCAATGTCCCCAGCAAGTAGGAGGTGCAGATGGGGTTGAAACCCAAGAGTGTGTCCCCAAAGTCTGCTTTAATTGCACTACCCATGTCACCCTCACAGTGCCCCGGTGGTGAGCACCAAGTCCAAACTGTGCTTCCTGGAGGATCTGAGCCTCTCTTAACATCCCTTCCAAACTAATCCCTCAAAAAGGATGTCATTGACATCTGATTAGTGCTGGACAATGTTTTCAGTTTACTGAGTCCCCCTGAACTGACTATCCACCTCTCTCAGCCTCAATTTCTCATCTACAAACTAGGGTTGAGCTAAATTATCTCCACAATCCTTTCCAGATCTACCAGTGCATGACTCTAATTGGAGTGAAGCCAATTCTCTCCATTTTTCAAAAAGTAACTGATTGGCTTGAAGCCCCATTGCTGTGCTTCTTGAGCTCTACAAAGAAACACACACCCCAGGCCCTGGCTGAGTGGCTCAGTTTGGTTGGAGCATTGTCCCAAGCACTAAAATGGTTGCGGGTTTGATTCTTGGTCAGAGCACATACCTAGGTTGTGGGTTTGATACCTGGTTGGGGTGTGTATGGGAGGCAACTAATTGATGTTTCTCTTTCACATCAATGTTTCTCTCTCTCTCACCCCTCTTCTCTCTCTAAAATCAATAAAACATATCCTTGGGTCAGGATTAAACAAAACAAAAAAACCCCACACACCCATGTACACTCATACACTCACACATACAAAAACACACACACATTTTCATACATTCACTCACATACATACATTTATACTCAAATACACATAAAATACACACACACACACACACACACACTCACATCTCTGCATCTCCATCTCTGTCTCTCAGACAGTTCTCTAGATCACAGTTTAAAACTATCATCTAGATGTATTTCCCAAGCCTCACGTGGGAAGGAGCCTCACTCTGTCCTCTTGGTCTTGCTGCACCTCAACATCCCTCTGCAGACAGCCCCACTGGGCTGCCTTCACAACTCAGACAACCTTTGCCAATCACAGCTGTGTGGACCTTGTTGCCAGCGCTGTCCAGAGTGACCTGAGCCACAGATGTGACCATCTTCCTGGCACTGAACTTTTGGATATGTGGTCTTATTACAGGATGGAATATTTGTTACCAGAATCTTTCATGATATAAAAATAGAAATCGTTGTTTATTGAGTGCTTAAGTGTCTCCATGCCTTAGGCTTAATTACCTTACTTCATGGCAGTTTCACAAGAACCATATGAGGAAAGCTGCATGTCTCAACCCAAGTGCATTCATCTTCAATCTGCCAAATACCATGTTGCTACACTCAGTGCTGCATTTCAGCTTTTTGAGACCACTCTGGATCTAGATTCTGCCAACTGCTGTCTTAGATATCCATCCAACTTCACCCTCCATCAATGCAGAAAGACAAAACTTAATAATGAGAATGAGAAGAAAGAAGACAAGATTATATAATACAAAAATAATAAAAATAACAAGGAGTCAGAGAATAACAAAACAGGGAGAAGAAAAGGAGCAAAGGAGTATACTTACTGAGGACTTTTGGCATGACTCCCAACCTCCCTGAGGGTCACCAACTCTCACATGCATCAGCATTGCTGGAATAAGGTTACTCAGGCAAGTGCAAAGAGTAGCCTACAAAACTCTATCTGCAGTCCCATCTAATCTCAGTCCACTCTGCCTGCAAATATCATCAGATCCAAACTTCTCAAAATGGGAAATGATGTGTGAGTCTGACATGGCTTCTCCCCAGTGAGCCCCTGCCAACTTTTGATGCTCATGTCTTCTTGCTGATAGACTCTGAGGCTCTTTTCCAAGGTCAGTAACAGACTTGGAGTCTCATCCAGCTCCAGGCTACATGCACCTCTGTCATGTACCCCAGATGACCTTTGCATATATGTGATGTCATCTCTGAGGTCACTCCATGACCTAGCCAGTGAGTTCAGGGACAAGAGACCACATGCACAGGCCACATGCACTGTCTCACTTCTCCTTTCTTACCTGTACCTACCAGTGTGCTTTGAAACTGGGGGATGGTTCTCTGTCCCTGGGCAAAGTAAAGCTGTTCTTTCCTCTTTCTCCTTCCATAGAGGCCAGCTGCCCTGGTAGCCAGCAGGTCTATGCATTCCTTATTCTCCTTGTCTTCAACGAATATTAATGAACACTATGTTGTCCTCTGCTCTCTTCAATAGCCTCATTTTTTTTCTAGGATCTCACACCCTGACACTTTTACTGGTTCTCATCACTCTCTATCATGTGTGTCCTGAGAAGGGGTTTTTCTTATTGCCCTTGGTTCTTTCAGTCTGAACTCAGTAACGCATTCTCCGAGCCACACAGACATCTTTCAGTATCACCTATGTTGTTCCTACTAATATAAACCAATTTCAATCTCAAACTCTTCAACAATTTCTGAGCCTTTAGATCATCGGATTATCAAGTGATGATCTCTGAAATTGAGCTCCCAAGCCCACAAGATGCCTGACTACCTCCAGCCTTCCCTATCACAAGAATGCTTCTCCCTCAGGCTCCCAAACTTACAGGGCCACCAACCAGGATTCTACTGACTAACACGGGAACACTATGAAATGAAGCTTCACCCACTCCATGGGGTTAAAAGCACATGTTTCTTTGTTTGTTACCCATTCTCAAGGCACTGACTGAAGATTCTGATCATTCCTTCACCTGGGAAGCACTTGCCACTTTCTCCCATATTACTTTCCTTTTCATGCCATAACCAGACTGCCCCATGTAATCAACAAGTCTTATTTCACATAGAAGTGCACAGGCTCTTGGGTCAGATGCCTGGCTCTGCTCTTACCAAACTGGGCAAGGCGCTGATATTCTCCTTGCCTGTTTCCCATTTTCAAAAAAGGATCACCTCGGCAGCCACTTCATTAAGTGGTTATAAAGATTAGATGGATTAATATATCTAAGTGCAAAAGAGCCTAGCTCAATAAATCTTAGGTAACATCAATTTATTATCATGTTAGTGCACAGGGTCAGAGTCAAAGTCATGGCCACTGTCCCTCTGTTCCTGTGCACCCAGGGACTAGTGCACAATAGTGTTTAATGAGTGAGCAAATGGCTGGCACTTTCCTCCTTCCATCCTCCATTTACAGAAGAAAGAGCTGTTAACAAACAACTGGGTGACCTCAATTTTCCTGAGATAGCTAAAGATACTCTGCACCCAGAGTACGCTAACTAGCCTCCAGTAGTTCCAAGATGTAGCTCAGAAACTACATCTTATTCAGTGACACTGTTTACAAGGCCAGCCAGTGCCTTCCTGTGTTTGCCTTCCTTTTCAGCTAAAAGAAATGAGTGCAGAAAACATCTTCTGTGCTCCTTTGGTTCCCTAAACTCTGGAGATGTTTCTCAGATCCTTTAGGAAGATTCCAGAGGATAATCATCTACCAACCTCTCCTAATTATGTAAGGATTGTGAGATCCTGGGTTTTCCTGAGAAGAGAAACACACATATTTTCTATGCATCTTCTTAACGCTGGAACCCTGAGGAAATTAAAAGCTGAAGAGTTGTCCAGGCTCCAGAGAGGCTGACTGGTGGTGCCATGGAGCTGGGGGAGAGAGGGGCTTCCTGGCCAGCTCCCACAGGCTCCACGCTATGCTTATACCCCTCTGGCATCAGTTCCTGCTGTGTTCAAG